CAAACAAACAGAGACTCATGGACATGGACTATAGACTAGTGGTTACCAGAGGACTATAGAGTAGTGGTTACTAGTGGGGTTGGGGAGGAGTGGGGAGGTAGATGGGGTAAAGTGGTTCAAATATAGGGTGAAGTGGATAAAGGGGATCAAATATATGGTAGCTGAAGGAAATTGGACTTAGAGTGGTGAACACACAATAGAATATACAGATGTCAAATGATAATGTACACCTGAAAATTATATAATTGCATTAATCAGTGTTACCCCAGTAAAAATAAAAAAAAAAGATAAAGACTTTCCTTAACAAAAGTGGAGGGAGATCTCCACCACTAGGCCTGCCTTGCAAAAATGAGATAACTGAGTGCATGCTGAGTGATATAACACATCACAACCGTTAGGATGGCTATTATCAAAAGGAGAAGAAAGAACACATGCTGGTGAGGATGTGGAGAAAAGGGAAATCTTGTGCCCTGTTAGTGGGAATGTAAATTAATGGAGCCATTATAGAAAACAGTATTGAGGTTCCTCAAAAACTAAAAAATGGAACTATCATATGGTCCAGCAATTCCACTTTTATCCAAAGAATATAAAAACACTAATGTGGAAATCTATATGTAGCCCTATGTTCATTGCAGCATTATTTACAATAACCAACATATGAAAACTACCTAAGTGTCCATTGATGGATGAATGAATAAAGAGAATGAAGTACATTTATACAATGGAATATTATTCAATTATAAAAATAATAAAATCTTGCCATTTGTGACAACATGGAAGGATCTTGAGGGCATTATGCTAAGTGAAATAAATCAGACAGAGTAAGATAAATACTGTATAAGATCTCTTATATGTGGAATCTGAAGAAGTCTAACTCACAGAAACAGTAGAGTGGTAGTTGCCAGTGGCTAAGAAGTGGAGGAAATGGGGAGCTATCAGTCAAAGGATACAAACTTCTAGTTATAAGATAAATGAGTTGTGGAGATCTAATATATGGCATGGTAATTTTAGTTAATATTATATACTTGAAAGTTCCTAAGAAAGTAGATCTTAAATATTGTAACTACAAAGAAATGATAATTATATGACATCATAGAAATGATAGTTAACACTAGGTTGGGAATCATTTTGCAATATAAGTGTATCAAATCAACACGTTCTACCCCTTAAACTAACACAATGACATATGTCAATTTTATCTCACTAAGGCTGGAAAATATTTTTTGATGCATTAATCACCCTATTTTAAAATTTATATCTCTGATATCTGGATCACTTGTGCGTTTGTTTCTATTGTCTGATTTTTCCTGTTTTTGATATGCTTGTTAGTATTTGTTTGAATACTGCATATTGTAAATGAAACATGGCATTGGCTCTAGGTGACATTATTTTCTTCCAGAAAATATTTACTCTATCCTCCAGCAGTAATATGGAATAAGAATAGGTCTTTTTAATTTTGTCAGGGCTGCAGTGCTTTGAGGCCATGCTCCAAACTTTGTAAGCTTTGGTCTGCCTATGGTGCATCCTTTCTTTTAGGCTATTGCCTGTCTAGCCAATAAATAACCTAGAATATTTATCAAAACATGTCTTCCTATGTGTGTGAAGAACTCCAATTTTTATTTCCCGAGCATACGAATCTCTGATAAGTTGTATTTCAGATTCTTTGCTTGATTTCTTTGTCTAAAGCTCTGTGCTATTAACAATAGGCAGGCATCTTGGAGGTTGGGGAGGAAATCAGTGCTGTGGTTTATTTAACTTTTCTGCACCTCTTTACTTTCAGGGATTTGAACCCCTCACATTCTGTCTTGGCAAGCTAGAACTCCACATTCTGTCTCCTCAGTGCCGTGATAATGCAGAAAGCTCTGTTGGCTTCTCCAAACTTGGAGGTCAATCTCAGCCCAGGCCTCAAGGTCGTCAGCCTGTGCTCCTGAAGGTCCCTTGAGCACAGGGGAAGTGTGCTGCAGAATGCCAGCTCACTGCAGAGAGCTTGCCTTCTCCTGGGACCTTGGACACATAGGACCTACCTCTTCCGGTGCTTTAAACAGACTCTGTGTTTTGTTTTGCCCTTTTGATTTATTTTATTTTTAGTTGCCTTTGGCAAGAGTCTTGATCTGCTTTAAGCCTCTCTGTCATAGCCAGGAGCAGAAGTCTCCCAGAGCTTATATTTTGATCAAGGTTTACCTTACTCAAAATTTCTTAATCTTTCTACTCTAGCAGAACTCGGTATCTAGTTTTCATAAAATAAGACCACAAATAATAAAAACATCTGTTGATAGGAGATGCACTTATACAGACAAACATGCAAATTCATGCTTCATATAAATTATATCCAGGGTTTTCTATTTTTATTGCATGCATCAGAAAACAGCTGCTCTGGATATTTTTGAGGTAATGGTATAAGTCCCAATTTAAATACAAATAGGAAAACTACATCACTGCCAAAAAAGTCTGACTTTTCCTATGCCCTGGATAGCAATCAGCTTTCACAGATATGTGGAAAGAACTAGAATGTCCTGAAGGCACATGACCACTGTTTGGGGGCTCTGGCCTGGTCACTTAAAGTAGTTATGAGTATGTCCTCACTATATGGCTATAGTAATGTCCTTGGAGTTTTATACCTCCAAAAACATGTTACATCTAGGGACCCTTCTTCAGCTTTGTGATGCAGGGAGGGTCTATAGACATGGGTGGAAGTGGCACCTCAGCTCCCAGCACATGGAACCATGTCTGTCTCAGCACACCCACCATTCCTCACTCTGTATCTCCATCTTTTTCCATGAGACTCAGGCCCACCTCTGGCAAAACCTTCTATGGCCTGTCCCTTAGATCCCCTGCCCATCTGCTGTCTCAGGGTTCTCTTCTGATCTTTTTGGGCCTGATAGGCTTGGGAGCTTCCCTGGACCTCACCTCTTACCACCTTCTCACATGGGACTCTCCTTCAACCATACCACATGTCTTGGAGTTGCCCGAACCTATCAATGTCTCTCATATCTCCACTCTTCTGCAACTCTGAACCCTCAATGAAAAGTTTTCCCTCCCTTCCTGCCTTTCCAACCTTTCACAATTGAAAACACCAACTCAAAGAGGCCTTCTCAGATCCCTGGCTGGCTAAGCTGGAGATATCCATGGCTGGGGATTCACAGCTGCCCTTGGCCACTGGGCTCCCTGCCCAGGATGCCATTTATGGTCCATTTAATGTCTCGCTTCAGTCTCCTGCAGTCCCTCTGCCCCTGCCCAAGGAGTGGCCCTTACTGCAGGATAGTGCTGCTAAAGTCAGCTTGCTTCCAGCTCCTTGGGCAAATCACCAGCCAGCTTAAGGAGGCAAGAGGCCTTTTTTTAGGAGCTGAGCTGTGGGCCTTGGCAGGATTGCAGTGGACTGCAGGAGGGTAAGGGAATAAGGGCATTGAGTTTGGACCCACAGAACAAGCAAATATGGGGTGACAAATATGAATCCAGTGAACTTAAGGGTCAGAACATACCAACCTGATGAAAACCTTGTGTCCCCCTCTCTGTGTTTGGATGGGGAGACAGTGATGCAGTGGGGAACCAGAACTTCAGCATCAGAGCCAGGATTTGAGTCCAGGTTCTGGGCCACCCTCCTGCAACTTGGGCCTCAAACCTGCTTTCTTTCACCCCCAGAAGATGACCTGCTGAGCAGTGCTCTGAACCTGGTGATACCTCAAGGTTGCTAGAGAGGTTCCATTTAGTCTCAGGGTAGAACCTGGGCCAAGGCTGAGAGGCTTGGAGAATCAGTGAGGAGGGGCAAGGTGCTGAGGGGAAGGGGCAGAGTTGGGCCTTTGGAATACAAGGGTTCCATTTAACTTGGTGGCCTTGGGGCCTGAGGAAAAAGGAACATGGAGGGGGATGGAACAAGAGTAGGCAAAGTTCTCCCACTAGCAGAGCCACTTGGGGAGATTCACTTGGGGACCTGGGTGTCCCCAGGGTAAACATTTTGGCCAAGACATGGACAAAGACTGCTATTAATGTGACATGGACCCTATTTTCTGGTCTTCTTATGCTAGTCCCTGCTCTTGCTGGACCTTCATCTGGCCTCTTGCCACCTCTGTTCGACACTCAGACACTGGAACTCCTCAAGAGTTGCAGGACTTCCCTGCCCTCATCTCTGGTGTTAGAATTAGGTGAGGCTGGTGTGAGGCTGTGTAGCTATCACTGCTGAGACCAGGAGAGTAGAAGAGGGGTGTTCATGGAAGAGAAGGGTGGTGGGCTGGCAGGGGGAGGGTGAGGAGATGGGACACACCCACAGGACCTCTTGGGGGCATCACCCAAAGCAAACCCAGCATCCCCTCCTTGGGAGCCCTAGAGTCGGACAAGAGTTTCTTCCCCAGTACCTCTTCTGCTTTCTTCTTCTCGAGCCAGGAAATATAATATCTGGGCCAGGAAACAGGGTGGAGATGGGTCAGTTAAGGAGTAGATGTGTTTTCCTTTGGGATGCTGGGGCTTGGAGAAGTCACTCACCCACCTCCAGCTATGACTGCCAGGGGCAGAAGA